ATATGTCCCCCCCAATGTCAAAGACATTCCTACGCCCTTGGCTCCATGTCAAATGTTCTCGCTCGTTGTGACAACTTCACTATTCCACTCCCACACCATACACCAATAAAAGTAGCCGGAGCAACTTTTCTTTATTACAAGACATGCACAGGTGAGTGTAGCCTATGCGATTTCCTGTAAAAAAAAACGCCCTGACAGCTCTAAATTATGATAAAAGGATTACCATAGTGAATCAGGGTCAAATAAAAGCAGAAGGATTAATGATGTGAACTCATTATTTAAAGGGATACTTCAGGATTTAGCATTAAGCTTTGTATTAGTAGAAAACCTGTAGTATTTTCGAATTACCATGCATCACATCCCCCTGAGACAAGAGATTTATGTATTTTTTGTCTTGAAAAATCCTCCAATGACGCAAAAATCGTCATTTTGCATCATCAGAGGATTTTTTTTGTCCAGAGCCTAAAGACTACAGCCAGTAGAAGGAGCTGTTCTGCATGTTTTCAACCCACCCATAGAGGATCTCAGTCAAAATGAACACATAGTGTCAGCCATCTTTTTTTTTTTCGAAGCTAAGCTAGCAGGCTCTTGTTCTGTGGAGAAAACTGAGTAAATTAGTAAGAGAAAGCTGAATAGTAGGGGTTACCATCATCTTTTTCCTGGACATGTCCGGCCGTCTAGATCGTACAAAATGTCCGGGATTCAGCTTTTGCTTTCTGCAGTCGCCATTCACTGTTTACATGTACAGCTTTTGTTTCAATCTAACTGAATTCATTCCGATTGGTGAATCTAGTGATCGGTTGTTGTGCGTTTTATCATTGCTAAGAAAATTCCCGCTCCTCTGTGAGAAACGAGACCGGTGCGTCTCTCATCGGTAATCACGCCACTGGCCTCGCACCGTTCACCACATGGCCCTCACTGGTCTTGCTCACCACAGTAAACATGATGAATGGCGACTGTAGAACGCAAAAGCCGAATCCTGGACATTTTGGGTGATCTCGAAAACCCGGGCAGACTTATCACGGAGACTCGCTAGTAGCCTAGACTTGTTATTTAACTACTGCGCTCTTTTACCGGTAGGCGTGGCCTCCTAGGGCAGCGAAGCAAGTGCATTCTGGGAGTTGTTGTCTTTCATCCACATGAGCCAAAAGTATATTTTCTGTCTTTTCTCAGTCTATTAAGCTCCAAATTCAAAAATAATTTCATATTTTTTCTACATAAATGACCCATTTTAAATACACATTCGTCTTTCCAGAGGTGAAGTATGCCTTTAAGTTTTAAACTTTAAAAATGTGCATAGTGTACCTTTGAAAACAATTTTCCTTAGGGTGAAGAACAATCTGAATAACATTTTTTTTCTCTCTACAAAACCTCCACTCTTAAAAATAATAGTTCTTGGATTGGAAATGACATCTATAGTTCCATGAAGACCTTTAACATCGAACATCCATTCCATTAATGTTCTTTAGGGAACTCAAATGTTTCTTTTATGGCATCACTGTGCCTTTTCGGAACCTATATTTCTAAAAGTGTCTAGTTCAATGGATAGTATCCACCATGGATGTTAAAGTTTCTTCATGGAACCATAGATGACAACTAATTTTCATTTTTAAGAGTGGATATTAAAATCCTGGAGAACGGAGTCTGATGGAAGTCACAGATGGAAGATATCTGACACAAAACTGGATTTAGTTATATGCGGTTGAATAATTTAATCTTAAATGGCCAACACATACTGTTTATAAACTTTTTCCAACATTTTGAGTTTTTTTAATGGCAGATTATAAAGGCACAAAACCTAGCTTAGTCAACAATATTGATGTCCTTGTACTCACTGTCAGAAGGATATAGCCTATCTTTAAACTCATTTGGGGAAAGCTCCAGTAACCTTTTGGACTGCTTTGTTGTAGGTAGGGGAAGGATTGACATTTCTCATTTATGTGCAGTCTAATGAGGAAATGCAAAGAGTTGTGTATTAGAAACTGGTGTTAATTATATTTTCACATTTAAGAGTTTGACATTTTATTCAATATAGACAATACGTGGACATAATTTCCTGGGTTTTAGGAAAGAATATTAATTGTAGTAGGCCAACTATATTTTAGAAACTGTTCTGATATTCTACTTTGGTCATATTTGTCTTCTTACAGTCGGAAAAACAGTCAAATAAAACGTGTAGCCTACTGAAGGGAAAGCTCCTCAATGACCCTTTGTAGCCTACACGACCCAAATATCATATCTGGTAACCCATGAGCACGTGAGGGCTATCTAGAACATAATATAACGTTAATGTGTAACGAGTGGAGAGCAAAAAAATCGATGTGAAACGTGTTTTGTGTGTGTGTGTGTGTGTGTGTGTACACACACAGCCATGTTGTCAGTAATGCTTTAACCGTGTGTACTCAGAGCTGTGTCACGCGCTAAGCTTATTCAACGCACACATTGGTTCGCGCGGGGGTCTGGCCAGAACGCGAAACGCTAGTGGCTGATGACGGGGTGGTGTTGCCCGGGAGTGGGCGGGATCTGATATAAGTGGGCAGAGTTTTAGATACTGACAGCGTCCAGCGCAGCCACATACACACACATTTACAGTGAATAAGGCACGGTTCGTCTCCGCTATAGAAAGGTAAGCGATGAATTTTAGTTCTCACCCCTAGATATTTTTGGAAACGAGTGTTCACACCAACGTTTGATCTGTGAGTGTGCACTGAGGGGGAAACGGGTGTAGGTTGCCCTAATAGAAGAACTTGTGAGTAAATAAGACCAGTGGGCGAGAGAGGGCTGAGAGGTGTGGCTTCTGTCCTAGAATCCTAGAGAGTATAGAAAACTTCAGTGTTGCAGCAGCAGAATCAAAATTTACGCTGTAAAAATGTTTTGTCAGATCACCTAAAATGGACTCCACGTGGTAGCATCTAAATTAAATGGTCTTATTCAGGTAAACCTTGGAAATGATTGATATCTCCTACCCTATCCTAAAAGAAAAAATCACAGTGTAGAAATGTAACATGTAAAAAAAAAAATAACACAATAGCCTAATGCCGAAAGTAAGCAGAACACCCTCTTAACTAGATTGGCACATCTAATGCGAACGTGCAAGTGATGAAACTGTGCTTCCATAGAAAAGACAACAACAACAACAACAACAACAACAAAAACCCTTCTTTCCCGTAATCTTAACGGGAGGGATGTAATATTTAATATGTATAATTCGTCGATATAATGTATATTTCACCAGATGATGTGAGTATTTGTGGTAAAATGTTAATAAAATTATATTTTAAAATGTATAAAATTCGGTGCAGCTTCCTGTATGCAAAACACCTATATGTTTTTATAATTATTTTACAGTGACAAAGATATTTTTAACAGCTCAAATATGTTGCCATTATTTAATCAAATATACAGCTAGGAATTGTTAAATATGCAATCACCAAAATAGCATTCTGTAATACTATCATTTTTATTTTCATTATTAGGCCTATTATTATTTTCATTGTTGTAGTTGTTGTTGTTGTTGTTATTAGAGTCCAAGCACCGATGGTGAATAGGCACCTATTATATCCATTAGTGTTAATTCTTCCGCTCTATGAAGTCTTTGGCAGCCCATAGAACTGTATGGTAAAGCGTTATGAAATTTGGCACACAGATATGGCAGACAGCATTAACCATATATCAGTTTCGTAGTCTCTAACTCAATCCCTCTAGTGTCACCAACTGTCAAATTTCATGTACATTAATGCAGTATAGGGCAAGAAACTTTATTTTTTCCCCCTCTGATTTCTACGCACCCATAACATCAAGAACATTTTTCTGGCGTTTTGAATTTTCAGAAAAATTACTTTTTCAAAAACGTTTTAGACAGTTCATCCAATTTTCACCAAAATTGTCTCAGATCTTTTTCAGACCATGGCGACTAAAAACATGGAAATCAAGTTGATTCGTCAAGCCGTACTTGAATAACTCACTAGACAAAACGAAAAGCACACCAAAATGGATGTTAGGCTATATCTCTGCAGGCCTGAGGGTGCCTGCACAGTTTGGCACAGTGCCACTTAGAAAAAATGCTGTTTTTGCTTACTACATCCAAACGGTTTGGCCAAAAATCACAAATTGGGTTTGGTATAGCATGCCGAGTCAAACGATACTTGTTTTAGATGGCTGCAATTTTGGATTTTGTCGGAAAATGCTATATTTTACAAATGCATTGGCGTTTCGTTATGAAACTTGGTAATTGTCATCGGCACCATGCCATGATGGTACTGAAAAACTTTCAGGGATGTGCCACACATTGTGGCAAGAATTATAATCAATTGTCCAAAAATGCTAATAGCCTTTGATAAATGTTGCTTATTGTAATGAAACTGGTCCTAATAAATTACTTGGTTCATGCTGAGAACATAGATAACAATTTTGAACTCCCTGTCTGACATTTAGATTTTTCTTTAAAAACCTACTATTTTCATGGAAATTGAATCATATCATCCTCACACCTTGCTGACGGAACACAGAAATCAAGTTAATTCATCAAACCATTCTCGTTCAACGTGAGAAATGTTCTTGTTCTTGGTCAAAAATCTCACATATTACCACCCAACACTGAGTACACCGACCAATTTGGTGTTAGTGCCACCTATTAATCAAAAGTAATAATCAATTATGTCACATACGTAACAAAAGATATAGTAATTGTATCTGTATAATGACATGCTTTACATGCTTCCTTTTGTGGTGCTTTGGCACGGATATAATCTTTTAGAAGGCAAAACTGGAAATAAAGATAATTTTTGGGTTCACCCAAAAATATTTTCTTTCTTCTGTGGATCATAAAAGTAGATATTTTAATAAATGTAGTGGAAGTCAATGGTCACCACAAATGAAAAAGTTACAAACATTCTTTTAAATATCTTCTTTGTATTCTGCAGAAGAAAGAAAGTCAAACAGGTTTGGAATGACATGAGGGTAATTAAATGCACTTAAACAGCTCTGATCATGTGACTACTTGCATCAATTAAAATGTTCAGTTAAATCAGGACTGTGTGCGCATTCATTTATAGTGAACAATTGTGTAAAAGTAGGGCTGAGACTAAAGACATGGTTCAGTTTGAGGATGAAGCTTTTAAGGGTGTGGCTATTGGAAGAGGAGGAATTGTTTGCTGTGTATTGGAGAAAGTCAGCTGAGAGATAGCATGGATAGCAGAAGCAAGAGCAGTTATGGAAAAGCAGTCTTGTAATACTATGTGTGCATTTTGCTCTCTGTGACCGGGCTGACGCATGGCTTTACACACGCCAGACACTGGTGAGGACTGGTTCATGAATTATTTTAAATGGGTCCACAGTGATTTAAACCCCTGTTTAAAGAGCATGACAAAGTTAAAAAGCTTTGAGTGGTGATTCATTCACTGTGTTGTGTGTGTCGATCAGAGTGAGGAAGGTTTGTGTTATTTGTTTTGCTCATTATTAATCAATTAATACAAGGGGGAAATGCAATGTACAAACATTATGTTCTGAGTTCTTTCCATCCTCGTGGACAGTCACATCATGTATTTATCTTGGACAGGACACTCCTGTAAAAGAGGCTAATCTCATTTGAGTTCTCTCCTGGTTAAATAAAGGCTGAATTAAAAATAAAATAAAACTTCCTGACAACCTTTATGAGACAAGTTGTTCACTAAGATTGAGCTGCTTCATTAAATGTAAAACCAAATACCTCTAAAATATATGATCATTGCTATCACACCTGCTTGCTGTAGTTAATTGTCATACTACAGTTTCTTGTAAGTCCTTATGTTAAGATACTGAACATATATATTCAGATTCTTGTTCTTAAAATCAGCTAATTATTGGTATAATATATATGTGTTGTATCATTTTCTGTGTGTTTGTTAATGCAATGTGATATGATAGTTGTCTAGATCGATGCCTTTAGCTGGACTGTTTTTGCTTTTGGGATGGGGTTACATCAGACCTAGTAACAATGGGCTCTATGCACGGCGGTATTTCCGGTGAAGGATTAAGGATGCTCGATAACTTCCGCCGATCATAGAGTCCAATGCAATACCGAGAATTTATATTGAATTTTATACTCCATGGTTATACTAAAGAAACGTTAGTCACAAAAACAGATAAAACAGACACCCCTCGTTGTGTTTATGCTTCTTTTTAAAATTATATAAAATAAACATAACTATATATAAAATTACATCTAAACGTATGTACGTTTCGTTTCAAAGACGGGAGGACTGTAAATTTTTGAAGACTCTGAATATCCACAACCGGAAATGGACGAGCATCCTTGCGTCAAATGCGGAACTTATGCGTGCATATAGCCCATTGTGCAATTGTACAGGCTTAAAATAATTATTACACATTAAAAGGATAGTTTACCAATTCTGTCATCAGTAACTCATGCTCATTCATCTTTGAAACACAAATTAAGATATTTTTTTTTAATGAAACCTGAATCTCTCCCTGTTTAGGCTGTAATTTACATATAAACATTGATCAACGCGCATACATTGAGCACATTAAAGGGATTAGTTTTCACCCAAAAATGTAATTTTGTCAATACAATGAAGGTGCAGGGTTGTTTTGGACCCTTGTTTGCTTTCATTGTATGGAAATAATGTTTTTTTTTTCCTCCAAAAGTATCTTCTTTAGTGTTCTGCTGAAAAATAAATTCATACAGGTTTAGAACAACATGAGTGTTAGTAAATGAGATAATTATTTGTGTGTGTGTGTGTGTGTGTGTGTGTGTGTGGACGATCCCTTTAATAACTCTTACATACCATAGTACTGAATCTTATTTAGGTTGCCATCATCACTGTGCCATTATTTTGTAAAAAATTACCTGTAGATGTTTAAAGATGAACACAAGTCTTGGGTTTGTAAAGTCATTATGGTGAGTAAATGATGCCAGAATTATAATTTACTATATGGGTGAACAAACAAAATACACTATTACAAACACTGTAGAGTACAGCCCATCCCAATTTGACTATAGAAAATATTTAATTCGGTTGTTTTGGCGTTCTGTTTTCACGATTTGGGTCTATAACTTGAGTTCTGACTTTAGTTTTCTTTTTTCCCTTTAATACCACATTCAAGTTTTGCATGTAAATGACTGTTGCTATGATTGGGAAACAGCTTTGCATATTAAAATACACAAGTGGAAGTGTTCTGAAAACTTCCGGTGTTAAAAAAATTGCAACCTGTGAAATTCAGCCATACTGTTATGAAAGGTTACTGAATGACACAGACAGATGATTAAAGTGATATATAGTGATTTATTGGAAAGTGCTGGCAAATGGAGAGAAGGATGAAGTCAAGTCAAGTATATAAATATAGTGCTTTTCACAATATACTGTAGATTGCATCAATGCAGCTTCACAGTATCAATCAAAACATTATAAAAATGTTCGTTTCTTAGTGGAAAAACATCCACGTTTGCTAGAGCTGATCAAGGCTATTATTGATTGGTTAATTAATCTGAATATCCCCAACTGAGCAAGCCAAAGGCAACAGTGGCAAGGAACTAAAAAACGCCATCAAGTGACCTAATGGTGTCCTAAAACTGACCCAATGGAGGAAAAGAAAAAAACCTTGGGAGAACCCAGGCTCAGTCGGGGGCCAGTTCTCATCTGGCGTTTATGAACTAGAGACCGGATTTACAGTAACTGTTACTGTAAGGTAAAAATGTGTATTCATGTCTCTAAACAGACTTTAAACGTGAACCTGTGATAAACGCTGATGGCGTCACATGTGCATAAAGAATTGATATGCGTTTGAATATATGTGCGCAGGTTTTTAATTCCCTCATGCCTGAACAAACTACTTGTCATGTCTATAAATTTGATACAGAATTTTGTTTTATTTTTATCACTAATAGTGACGCGAAACGAATTCATAATGCTTTATCTGTAGGGTGGGAAAGGGATCCTCCATAGGGAGAAGCTAGTTGGCACTTCATTACTGCATTGTCATCGTCATCGGGTCCAGGCTAAGGTCTTCGTCAGATCTACATACAACCTGGATCCAGCAGGCTGCGGGAAAACCTTGGGTTAAACAAAGACACTCAAATTAGCATAGATGCCATTCTTCTTATGATGTAAAGACTACATCAGGATTTAAGGGAAGTGTTCCCAATTCCGGCTGACCTAATCTATGCAGCCTAACATTGAATTATTGAAGTCTATAATGTATTATATGTATGCCAGGGCAAAGAGATGTGTCTTTAATCAAGCTTTGAACTAACAGGGTGTTTCTGCTTCCTGGACAATGGTAGGAAGACTATCCCATAGTTTTGGTGCTAAATAGGAAAAGGATCTACTGCCACCAGTCGATTTTGATATTCTAGGTGTTATTAACTGGCCAGAATATTGAGATCGCAATAAACGTGAAGGACTATGCATTAAAAGCTCGATCAAGTACTGCGGAGCTAAACCATTTAGTGCTTTGTAAGTAATCAAGAATATTTTTAAATGTTTAATAGACAGTGATGACAGAACCGGGCTAATATGGTCATACTTCCTGGTTCTGGTAAGAACTCGACCTGCTGCGTTTTGTACTAGCTGTAGTTTATTTATTAAGTGTGCAGGGCAACCACCCAGTAGAGCATTACAATAATCTAGCCTTGATGTCATGAATGCATGAACTAAGTGTTTCGCATTTGTCAATGAGAGCATATGACGTAATTTAGAGATATTTTTAAGATGGAAAAATGTGGTTTTACAGATGCTAGACACGGGACTTTCGAATAAAAGATTGGCATCAAAGAGCACACCCAGGTTCTTAACTGACGACGAAGACTTAACAGAGCAGCCATCAAGTGTTAGATTCTAGGTTATTACGTGTGGGCGTTTTTTGTCCAATAAACAGAATATCTGTTTTTTGTTTTTTTTTTCAGATTTTAGTAGTAAAAAATTGGGTGACTAGAAATGTCCTAGAAAAAATCAGCTATATGCATTCTGTTAATTTTGTGAATTGGTAAGTTTCGTTAGATTTTGAAGAAATATAGAGCTGAGTATCATCTGCATAGAAGCCAATTCCATGTTTCCTAATGATATCTTCTATTATAGATCCTAGTACTGAGCCTTGCGGTACGCCATACTGAACTTGTGATCGATAAGACATCTCTTCGTTTACTGCTACAAACTGATAACGGTCAGATAAGTATAAACCAAGTTTAAACCATGCTAGTGCAATTCCACTAATGCCAACTAGTTTTCTAGTCTATTTAAACGAATGTTGTGGTCAATTGTGTCTGCAGCACTAAGATCATGTAACAGTAATAAGGACAACCACAATCGGATGATAAGAGCAGATCATTTGTGACTCTAACGAGAGCTGTCTCGGTGCTATGGTACGCTCTAAATCCGGACTGAAAATCATCGCAGATATCATTTCTTTCGAGAATGGAACACAGTTGTGAGGATACCGTTTTTTTTCTAATATCTTTGACGAAAAATTTAGATTCGAGATCTGCCTGTAATTGACTAATTTTGTATGATCAAGTTGCGTTTTAAAAAAAAAAAAGTAGTTTTATCATAGCCATCTTAAAGGCTTTTGGTACATATCCTAGCGACAAAGACGAATTAGTGATATTAAGAAGAGGATCTACAGTATGACATCTGGAAGCATCTCTTTCAGTAGCTTAGTCGGTATAGGGTCTAACATACAAGTTGTTGATTTAGATGAATTAACGAATTTGCTAAATTCTTCCTCTCCTATAGCAACAAATGAATAATTTTTTTCCTCAGGGAGCCTACGATGCATTCCCTGATCTAATTCTTTAGTAGACGGTTGCATAGTTAAAATTTTGTCCCAGATATTATCGATCTTATAAATTAAGACGTTTATAAAGTCATTAACTGCTGTGTTGCTTGGACACTTCTGGGCTTGAAGCTTTCTTTTTCGTTAGTTTAGCCACTGTTTCAAATAAATACCTAGGATTAAGTTTTCTTCTAATAGGGTTGAAAAATAAGCAGATCTAGCAGTTTTTAAGGCCTCTCTGTAAGCAATCGATCTCTCTTTCCATGAAACCTGAAATACCTCTAGTTTTGTTTTCTTCCATTTGCGCTCCATTTTTCTGGCGGCTCTCTTAAGGGCCTTGAGTTTGCTTGTTGTACCACGGCGTTGGACTATTTTCTTTAATCTTCTTTAAGCGCAACGGAGCAACTGCGTCTAAAGTGCTGGAAAAGAGAGAGTTAACAGTTTCTGTTGCAAAAATCAAGTTCTTCTAAGCAATCCAGGATGGGGAGATGATTAAACTGATTAGGAAGATTAAATATAAAGCAATCT